TTGCACCAGTAAGAGCAGAGTGTGAAGGTTCAATTAGCAAGGTAAGAGCACAGTTTTGCTCAAAATATTGCAAAGGACACAACATTATGGGTGACATACCAGAGTTCAAAAGAGGACWATTGTTGGTGCACGTCTTGCTGGTGCATCTGTGACCAAGACAGCAAGTCTTTGTGATGTACATCAAGAGCCACGGTATGCAGGGTAATGTCAGCATACCACCAAGAAGGACGAACCACATCCAACAGGATTAACTGTGGAGGCAAGAGGAAGCTGTCTGAAAGGGATGTTATGGTCTAAAACCAGATGTTTCAGTTTCATTGTCTAACCCCTGTATGTGACATTTCAATGATTTGCAGTCATTAGAAATAAAGTTAAGCTGTGACCAGCTTGACGAGCTAAAGACTAGTCAGAGTGAGGCCTGGACCAAAGTGGATTGCTCCTGCCCTCAAACCTTCCACTCATGTGAAGACAATTTTAAAAATGATTTTACGTCACTAACAGTTTCATATAGTATAGAAGCAGCAACAGCTCTTCCTTCATAGCCCGTGGCCCTTCTTGCAGGCATATCCCAGTATTTTTGCGAGACTAGTCATTAAGGAGAAATTGACAGTGATGTAAATGTTTGTGAAATAGTGTTCACAGGAAATGCTATGAAAATTTTAAGATTTAAATTATTTTAAGAAAACAGCTGTCTACTTTGGATTGTTTCCAAATAGCCTCACTTAAACAAATCTTAACAGTTTCTTTAAATCAGGGGTCTGCAACGTTTACAACCAAAAGAGCTATTTCTGCTCCTTGGCTCACAAAAAAAAAAACGTGTCACAAAACATACAACAGTGATTATCAACTGGTGGCCTGTGGGCTACTTTGAGTTTTGTTGAAGTGGTGGTTTTAGGCCAATGGGGGAGAACATTTGAACATTTAATGTTGCTTTTACTATAAGAAAGACTATTTTCATGTAAACAGGAAACAAATACCTTTAATAATTCTTTCCAAATTCAATAAAAAATATTTTACATTTTTCATTATCTAATAAATTCACCATATTTTTTCTCAACAACTTGTCTTACAGGTATTCAAAAAACAAAGGCTGATGAATTTGAGAAAAAAACATACTATTAAAGTGTTCAACAAACTACTAGCATGATTTAATCAACACCTTTCACTCATTGTACTAGACGTTTTGAATATTTGCCAACAAATGGACGGAAAATCTGCTACAGCTAGGTTTTTCTTTTGTGGGTATTAAAAACAAACAAAAGAAAATCTATCTAATAAAGTTTTGGTCAAAACTTTAAAAAGCTGCTGCAGAGAGACCAAAGAGATGCATGCTGCTCCAGAGTGCAGGTTGCAGACCCCTAATTTAAATAACTAATTAGCTTCTCCAGCTTTAGAGTTGGAGGTTGGAAATACAAAACTAACCTGGCATTGAGCCTACCAACACCTTTAAACGTCATTATTTAATTGTTATACTTACACATGCAGTGACACGCACACACACACACACACACACACACACACACACACACACACACACACACACACACACACACACACACACACACGTGTGTGTGAATTCTTTAGTTTTAGCATCGTTACACCACATAACATGGGTAATATATACATACAATATTGTTATACTGTTTGCTTGTTTTTTTCTTAAACAGAGAAATGAAGTAAATGTAATAACTAATATGTAAATCTACAATCCAAATAGTTACATCACAGCTTTTACTCAGAATGCCAACATTTTAAGCTGAAAACATGGCAAACAAACTGCTTATGAGATTAACCGTGCAGCTGCCAACCTTATTTTTGTTTTTGCCTTGAGTGTAGTACAAAGCTGAAAATCTAAATCTTTTTGGATTCAAACATACACCAATCAGTTATTATATTATGACAATCCAGAGAAAATTGATTAAGTCCTCTTGATAAAGAACCACTTTGAAAATGCAAGACAAAAATGATCCCAGAGTTTCCTGGTGAGTCTGCTAACGGTTTGTTTGCAGGACATTGTTTGGGCACCCATCAGATGCCATCAGATCCAATCACATTAAAATTTGTAGTGTTTGTACTTTGGGCCATATCTAAGAGGTTTTTGAGGACAACTGTTGCCCTGATGGAAAGGGGCTGCCTCTGGAAACAAACATTGCTACCATGTTGGGATGTGATTGGTCGGCAAAAAATGTTTATGGCAGTTGTGTCTGGTGGCGTGTGACAGAGAAACATCTGCGCGAATACCAGGAGAACGCTACATTTACCTTAAAGTTGTTTTATTTTTATGGCTTATGTTTCTTAAGAACAGACCAAAAGTCTCAAAACAAGTTTTTTTTTTTTTGTGGGTAAGATTTGATCTGACAGTAAAATATGATTTACATGTTTGTATTTGCCCATGGCTTTGCATCATTGTGGTTAAATGAAGTTCTGGTTGCACCTATTTTTCATAACCCCTCAACAAATACTTGTTTCATTAACTGCCACAATATACGGGAGCTGTAGGCAACGAGGAACACTGAAGCCCATATTACTATCACAGTTTTCCCAGTGTCACCCTCTAGTCCTGTTAAACTAAACAGTTTTTGTTCCAACTACATACTGTGCCCCAGTAATACATCATTAATTATATCACAAATTTCTCAAATTTGAAAAACACGATTTCCTCGAGCCAAATCATAAAACTCTCAGCTGTAATTATGTTTTTTTTTTTGAAGGCTCATTTGAAACTAAAAAACTGACAGATTYATTGATTTTCAAAAATGTACAATTTCCTAAACGGGCCAATTGATTTCTTTTAAAATTAATATTATCACTATTATTTTATTGTGACAACTGATTATATCTGACCGACAACGAACAGCCCCATTAATGAATGATTAGTTACAGACACACTGCAGGTTACTCTGCWTTGTCAGCTGTTTTACTCCAAATGAGATAGTTAAGAAATATACATAACTGTAGCTTTTGAGACTATAGATTTTGTAAGATAAATAGCCAAAAATGAATCATTTTTTTCTCATAGACTGTATCAAACCATTGATGTGTTTTKATCACAAAGGTAATCAGAAAGTATTTTGGTGAAAACAGGCTGCTTTGCACATCACCCAGCTGTGAGCCGCTGGACCAGACACCATTCAGCTACAGGACAATAAATTTAAACTTTTAATGCACAAACAAACAAAGGTTTCAACATCTTCAGGGCAGACACTGTGAGGCACATCATTTTAATTTATCTTGTGCTTTTTTGTGAGTTTTCAAGCGAACGTATTGAGTATAATATAATTCACTAATTTTGTTATATGAACATTAACATAAATTCAGTGGCACAGCACAACCCTGTGCTCATGTTCCACCTGGAGTGCAGCATTCACTCCTTCTAACAGTTTACCACAGTATAACATGTGGCATGTAGCTGCTGACTGTTTATCTCTCATGTGTTGGACCGCATCCAATATTTGCATTTTTTCTCGATTTGCCGGTACTCTACGGACGTAACCCCTACAAAAAGTTGTGGCTTCAACTGTGCAGAAAACTAATAGTTGCTACCAAAGGTTCTACTATAATAAAAATATAGTAGATCTTTCTATGAAGCAACAGGTTGATAAATACCTGATTTATTATATTTACCTGCCTCAGCTGTGTGTTCACGCTGACTCTGAGGGACACACCCAATCTGTTTGTTTTCACATYAAAGCTTCATCTCTTTATTTTTCTTTAAATTTTGTAATTTGAAAGAAACCATTTTTAACCCCTCAATAGTCCCCTGATAAACTCAAAACAATCAAGTGTTTGGGTCTTGTATTTTACACATTGGCGTCAGATCTGGATGCAGCACTTTACAATATAAATATATAATGAAAGRATGTGTAAACAAAAAGCATGATTCAGACAGTATAAACAAGGTTTCATATTTCTGTTTCTGCTTCTTTTTCAGCATGTAATCTTTTCCCCTCCTTTTCCTTTTTTGTCTTTTTCTCCATCTGCTTTGTGCCAATCACTCAGACCCACATGGCCCATCATTCACCATCGGTAAAGCCATATGGCTGCTGTGGGGTTTGGTATTCAACAACTCTGTGCCCGTGCAGAACCCAAGAGGCACCACCAGTAAATTCATTGTGTCCGTTTGGGCCTTCTTTGCTGTCATCTTCCTGGCCTCCTACACTGCCAACCTGGCTGCCTTCATGATCCAAGAAGAGTTTGTGGACCAAGTCACTGGACTGTCTGACAAAAAGGTGGGATTATACAAATATGAACACACACACACACACACACACACACACACACACACACACACACACACACACACACACACACACACACACACAC